CGAAATAGACGTCACGCTCGAGGAAAACACTATTGTATCTGTACCCTATCGCAAAAGCCGTGGGCAGATCTCATATTTCGCCCGCAATATCGAGCGTATGCAACCCGGGTCACCGCGGAGTTAAAATAGTTGCATGTTGGGCTGGAACCCAACTTTGATTATTCTTCCATCTTTTTGCGCTCCGCGCATCATTCAATCGCCGATTTCACCTTTCGGGTTTACCTACTATACCTACCAGGGTTAGAAACCATGAATCATTGTTTTCTCGAATCCAAATATCACGTAGAGCACGATGGACCAACAAATTTTTCCGAATTTAGCTCATAAGTGCAAAATTAGCGCCAAAAAAATGGCGCGCTCGGAAATTAACCAGCAACTACTTGCTAATAAAATTGGTCATTTAACTAATTTTATAAGTATGCTTTAAAATTAAATATAATTGTTTCAGCATGCTGAATTTTTGTTAAACATTTAAAAAGCATCGCACAACAGAGGATCAAGGGAATGTTTTTAAAATACCCAATTTTTAATGTTCTCAAATTACCTAAGTAAGAGTTTGTTTTCATAGGCAGATTTGACCTACTTTAATGTTTTTTTCTTTTCCAGCGAGAAATTCGCATTTATGAACACTTAAAACACAAAATTTTTACTCATATGTGAAATGTGGACTCTCCACGCCAAATACATCTACGCGCTTTTAGACTGCGACAGAAGGTCCGCCATCTTGATTCTTGCATTTACTTTCAATGCTAAACTGACGTCACGCGCTCTTCTGTCGCAGTCTAAAAGTGTGTTAACTTATTTTGCGTCTACTTATTCTACTAAATATTTTGGGGAGAAAACATGCATTGTGGTATGTACTTGACGTCTCACCCCGCTTAGTGGTCCATACTCTTCTGTTTGGAAGAAAAAAAAAAGAGAAAAAAAAAACGCTCATGCAACGAATACTCGCTGCACATGGAACTTCATGTCAGTCACAGTCATCCAAAAAGGGACTAGTTTCATCGTTCCGTGCTCATTGGAGTCGCGTTGCCAAAGTTCGTCAATACTTTTTTTATGACTAGCATTGTAAAATTCGCTCGAAAGTCGATAATGCTGCTGCTCATCGAGCCTCTCGCAAGCTGAAACCGGCAGAAGGAGCTGTGTCAAGCCCTGTTCCAACTTTAATTACCAACAACAACCAACTTTGTCCTGTGTTATGGATCGCGTGTTTTTGGGTGCGTGATATCAAAACCCATGTCAAAATTGTTCCGTGTTTACCCACCACTTCCACTGATAAGAGTCCCGTAATCACACTAATGCTTATTGAACAAATTTGCATTAACTATCGGCGGCTATCTCGGCAATGAACGTTTTCATGTCTCTATCTGTAGATTTTAAGGAGTTTCATTAATTCATTCGGCGCTGGTGCTTACCTCAGGAAACTTTTTATTGTGTCTCTAAAAACTTTGAGAATTATTGACGTTCCTGTATTTTTCCATTTCTTTGCGGTTGCGCATGCAAACCCCCCCCCCCCCCCCCCNCCTTTGGAAAGATTGCTTAAACCATCGGAGTAATTTTCTCGACCCGTTCTGAATTCTGACCAACATTCATGTTCATGTCCAACCTACTTTCAAGTATTTCCAGAAGGCTGGCCACTCGAAGAGCACGTCATAGTTGTTTTTGCCTACTTTACTGTTCGAAGGCACTTTTTCCGATCCGCCTCCGAAATTTTAATGGAGATGTTGCATGTGTGAGGAATTTGCGATTTGACTTTTAATTCTGAGGTAAAAGTTCGCGAGAAACACGATGGTGCCACTGGTTTTCTCTGAAATCAACTTCCAAGCTCAAAAAAGCTCTCGAGTTGAAGCCAAAATGGAGGGGATATCCCACGCTATCCTGAGAGTCCACCTCTACATCAAGACAAACTCTGCATGCAAAAGATAGGGAGCAAATAAATTAGCAGGATTGCCGTGTTTTCGGTTGTGGAGTCCCTAAATAAAGTGGCAGCCCTGTCAATGTATTTGCTCCCTATCTTTGCATGGAGAGTTTGTCTTGACGTAGAGGTGGACTCTCAGGATAGCGTGGGATATCCCCTCCATTTTTGCCTCAACTTGAGAGCTTTTTTTGAGCTTGACAGTTGATTTCAGAGAAAACCAGAGTGGCACCATCTTGTTTCTCGCGAACTTTTACGGAAGAATCAACAGTCAAATCGCAAAAGTTTTTTAAGATGTTCAGTTACCATATTTAGAAATTCTCTCCGAAGCCGATTGAAGGGTGCGTAAATACGTATTAAAAATAAAAATGCATGGATCATCCTCGTTTCGTCGACGTTATTTTTCACACCTTCATAAATGATACTTGAAATGTTATCCAGCTACATATTTAACCGTTTCCCGCAATTTTTAAGATTTAAGGGGGGGGGGGTCCGGTAAGA